GAAGCCGGGAACACAAAATCAGATTAAAAGAATCGAGTAGCTTACTGGGAAGTTTAAGTGCATTATTCTTTCAAAATAGGGCATTATTTTTTTTTTCTGGTCTTAGTGAAGCAAATTGATATCGAGCACCTATAGAACAGCGAATTTAAGTTTTTTTTATTGAATTCCCTGACCTACTTTTTGAGTGTAGTTCTATCTTTGTACTGCAATATTTTTTCAGGCGACACGACTAATGATAGAGGCAGAGGCATCAATCCTAACGACTGCTCAACTCTACAGATGATTTTCAACTGTTGACAGCTTTGTATTTATAGCTTAATTTAGGGTTTCGTTTTTAGTTGCTGGGGATAAGTGTTGGTGACTTGTTTTGCTTTTTGTTGCCACACCATGATGGATTATGAAAGCATATGTTTACCACATATTCGTGTATTTCACCGGAAATCGCCCATAACCCTTTAAACGCCAGTCAGTTTTCGAAAAAATGTAACCAAAATTCAATTTTTTTTTATTGCACACTTTGATAGAAGAATTTTTCCCTATTTCAAGCATATAAGACATGGGCATAAAAGTTTGACAACTAAAAACGAAAATTGACCTTATCTTAGACCATATGAGGCAAAAAAAATTAAAAATGGAAACCGAGACGGCATCAGGAATTCCATAGTTGAAAAACAAAGTTCTAAAAACTGGAAATGCAGACTTCTACACCCTTTGGAGATGAACTCTATAAACATTCAAAACTGTGCCTTGGTGTGGTACACCTCGAAGCATGGGATGGCGCACAGTCCCACGCCACAGTCCTTGCACCAGTAGCGCGTTTCTTTGCGCACCTTCTTGTCCCCACCACCTCGTGCCTTGCAGCACACGACGCACCTTCGTGTTGGCAGCTCCTTTCCAGGTGTCGGTGGGATGTAGGACACAAAGTGTCTGGCGGTCAGACGCAGCAAGCTGGTGTCGGACGGCCTGCCTCTCTTGAGGGTGCGGTTCGGATCGTGGTACTTCTGGACCATTCCTTCGACCAGCGCCAGTTTCCCAGGTGGCTCAGTTTCCCGCCTTGTTTCTGGTAGAGCAAAAATGCGTTGAAGACTGCCATGTCTAGGAGGTGACGGAAAATCTTCTTGTAATAAATTTTTTGTCGACTTCTGGTTGTAGGGTAGTAGGAAAGCATCTGATCACTCTTGTCAACACCACCCATGGTGTGGTTGTAGTCGATGACTACAGCTGGTTTCGAGACTGTCTCTTTCTTCCTATTTACCATTTCTGTCATGGTGGCATCATGCACAGTGGACAGCAAAGTCACGAGCTTTTTATCCCTCCACTAGAGTGCCATGCACTTTCCACGCTGGTATGCCACAATATCTCCCTTTTTGAGATTAGCATCTTTGAGAGGTGGCATATCTCTGCGGGATGGTCGCACAGTGCCGTAGACGTCAGTCTTGCGGCTTAGAAGTTTTTCAACCAACTCCGGCGACGTGTAGAAATTATCCACAGTAAGGCAATAGCCCTGGTCCAGCAGTGGCTCCATTAGTCTCATGACGACTTTCGTCCCCATGGCGCTTGCCTGATCGTCGACGTCAGTGCCCTTGCCTGTGCAGATGACGACGTCCCATATGTAGCCGCATGCTGCTTCACACAGCACATAGAACTTCACGCCGAAGCGGGACCGTTTTAGCGGAAGGAACTGTTTCCAGGAGAGTCGTCCCTTGTAGAGCATGAGGCTCTCGTCAATGGATATATTCTCTTCTGGCATGTAGCTTGCTTTGAAGCGCTCTTTCATGAACGACTGCACTGGCCAGATCTTGCGAAGTTTCTGACGCGCTTGCCCCACTTCACCAGCATCATCTTCGTTGTTTGCAAAGTGCAGAAACTTCATGAGCAGAATAAATCGGCTCTTACTCATCACCTCTCCGAACACTGGGGTTTCAATCACTCTGCGCTTTGACCAATACCACTCGACAATTGGCTTGTCTACTATTCCCTGTAAAAGCAGCAGGGCAAAGAAGACTTTCATTTCTGCTTCCGTCACCGGTTTCCACGCCTTCACACGGGAGCCCCTTGAGATCGGTGCGGTCGCCAAGTGTTTATCGGCATACCTGTTTGTTTCCTTGACGATCTGAGTCATTACGTCCGGGCTCAGAAAGAGTTCCAAGTATCCAACAGCGTCGAGGGTGTCGTTTTCGTCGAGACCAGCGGAGACACCCGGCGTGGCAGTAAACGGAAAGCGGAGAGGAGCTCGTGGAGGATTTGTCGTGTCCACCTTTGTCCAGTCCCGCGCCGAAGCAAGGACCTCATCGCCGCTAAGGTCCGAGTCACTGGAGCTTTCAAACTCTTCCGCGGACTCTCCGCTTCCGTCACTATCGTCTAGCGCAAAGTCATCATCATCCAAACTAGAAAACTCATCATCAACTAAAGATACGCGCTTCCGAGACGAGCGACGCATGCCACCACTCAAAAGAGACGCCATTTTTAAAAACCCATGTTGCCGGAGGAGCACGATAGATTCTCAAAATGATGCCAAAATTAGCGAAATTTCGGTTCGCTTTTCCTCCTGGTGGCTAGCGGGAGAACTATTCTCAACGTAAAAATAGACTGGACGAGCGTGCCTCGTCGCTGGCACTACAGACGCGGGCTGAAACGAGCGGACGAGCGACGCTCGTCCTCGGCATTTTCGGGACGAACTCCGTGGACGAGTCAGACTCGTCCTCGGCGCTTAAAGGGGCCCATAATTTCTATTGCACAAACTTAGCGTAGCAGGAAAACCGGATTGTTCCTGAATAAATCACTTGAGAGGGGTTAAATTAGCGAGCCGCGTATTGTTTCCGATAGTAAAGTTCTTAATTTGCTTGTCATAATTAATTCTTTGATTGGGAGCAGTGAACGTAGGGTTCAAACGAGAAACTTGCTGAGCGTCCTCGAAACCCTCTAATTTATTAGCTATTAGAAAGGTGTGGAGCGCGCCAAACGTGTGGTTCTGGCACAATTACGGCTCCTGCTGCAGTCCCAAGGCCGACATAGCGAAAAGTAGAATCAATAGAAATCGAAGAAGTGCGCGGACGAGGCGAATTTGCATGTAGTTTTAAGAAAAAAAAAATATAAAGTGCGCCATCTAATTATAAACATTGACTGATTTATCGTTTTTTTAATAATGCCCGTAAAATGTGTTATTGGAAATATCTACTTACTTTACCCAACTTCAAAATAAATACATTAAATGAATAAGACTTTCTTATCTCACACGTCATGTAGTTCAATAAATATTACTTTTGTGAGCGAACAATACGAAATCAACTAAATTCTGATGGATACGTAACTTTTGCACGAACGTTTTCTCCAGCGTTCGATCAAGACCTTGAAATTATATCTCCGCGTAAATCGTTCAAAAATAATATATATAAAAAAGGTATTGATCAGTCAACTTAGGCATGTTCCTTCGTGAAACTTATTTTTTTTCTCGAGACTGTGTGAGTAAAAATGTACAAAATTATACAGCCGAGGAGCTCGGGTACAGTCTTTGTCAGTATTCGTTAAAGCAAAATCTAGCTACAAAAATAAGCTCGTCGCCTTAAGGCAGCGCTTTTAGTCCTACCATACGCTTGCTCGAGAGAAACGCTCCAATAGTCGGCCACTATACTCAGTTTCAGATTAACTTCAACCGCATTCAAAGCATCGATCCGGTAGGGCAACTTAAGGAGCATTAGAAGCGAATAATCATTGCGCTTATCGTCTTTGTGCGATTGCGACCATATGATAAACCAATCACGCTAAAAAAAAAGCGCAAGATCATGTAGCATTGAACGTTCGTGCCTGGTTTAACCAATGATAGCCAAAGCGAAACGGCGGCGAGCGCCTTGACGACACACATTTGGCGCTGCCTGATCGGATCGAATCCCGTTGGCTGCAGTCGGGCTTAATGCGGACCGGAGTATTATTGCTCGTGTGGTTTCTGCGTCAAGTTCGCTTACATCTGTGATACGATTTAGCGTAAGTACTGCGCTCACCAAACGTGTGGCAAACATGCAAACGCTGTCTTGTCTTATGCGAAGGCGATCGTTACTGTGGCCAAAGAACTGCTTCGTGACCACTCGTTGAACAACCCAGGCAGGGGAGACCACTCACTGGACCGTGGACACCGGAGAAATATGCCGGCCTGACATGTCTGTACTTATCGTTATCTTTTCGTACGAAGATGCGACGGTGACTGCGAAAAATATTGGTGATTTCTGCTTCTAATATAAGGCATTCGATGTTTCTACTTAACCCTACAAAGAGCGTAGATGGCCTCCCAGGCAAAATTGCTAGGTCGGCCCCTGCTCAGACTGTTCCAGTAAACGCTACGTCACAGAGCATTTTTTTTTCTTCTTTATGCTACGCCCAGTTAGCGTTTTTATCATACATGTGATATTCCCGGTTTTTGGAGTTTATTTTGCGACAAATTCGGAGGTTGTTATCGGAGTTCTTGTTTTTCCCCAAAAACTTCGGAGCTTATCGGAGTTTATTTTTTTCGGTTCCCAATTGTCCGCAATTGGGAGTTTAATTTCGCGGTGTTTCGTATCAAAATTAACAAATAAATAAAAACTGTCCGGGTGTAAACGTATGCTAGATAAAAACTAAAACCCGTTTGTATCAATTAATGTTACTTCAGCTGAATTTAGAGTTGGTGCCATTGCCATTGACAGCACTAATATGTCCTATGGCAAAAAGTAGCACACATCTGCTGGTTGGATAAAGGTCGATACCTTAAAATCAACACACTCTTCGAGGTAGTCGCAGGGAAGCTCGCCCATCACTCTGCACTCATAAAGCAGCCCCGATTTTGAACATAAATAGAGCCCGAAAACACTGGATTCCATGCATTATGCGACTTTCAAAATAATGTTCGCTGGGAATGTTTCTTTTTCTTTGTATTTCCACTAGGGAATAGCGCTAGCGAAAACCTTGTATACTTGCAGAGCGGCGGTAAGCACACGTCTTGACATAAGTCACGTCCTCCGCGTTCCCAGTGCCTCCGGTGATCGACAGCCAGAGCCTGCCCGACGTGCTCACGGCAAACCAGGGCATGAACGTGAAGATGCTCTGCAGCGTGGTCCAGGGGGACCCGCCCATCTCGCTTCGCTGGTTCCGCGGGGGTAACGTGGTGTCTAGGAGTGCCTCGGTGTCCCTGCAGAGCCTGGAGGACTCGTCGGTGCTCACGCTCAAAGGGGTCGTGATGCGCGACAGCGGCAACTACACTTGCGTCGCGTCCAACCGGGCCCAGGCTGTCAACAAGAGCGTCACGCTGGTCGTCAATGGTAGGCTCAACGGAGTTCTTTTTTTTTATGCTTTTGTGGGTTGTTTGTTTCTGACACGAAACACGTCCAAGGCCTGGCTACTTTAGAGAAGAAATGGAGACGAAACTGCGGCACAGACGTGACGTATATAAGAGGCTGAATTTGGAAAGCGAGACAGTGCCTGCCAAATTTGGCCGACCGGTATCCCGCTAAGATTGGCGGTACATAAGCTGGCGTGACCACGTGACGGCCGTATCACCTATCGTATGACCTAAAATTATTTTATTTAGAAAACAACAGTTTTGTCAGGAAATATCAAAACGCCTTGCAACATTTTTAGTTCTCCCAAAAAGATAATAATAACAATAGTTGTAATAATAATAATAATAATAATAATAATAATAATAATATTTTAGTTGAAGTTCCTTATAACACCCCCACTCGTCGTTTAAATGGTGCACCATCCTAAAACACTAGAAGTAAGAAACAAAAATATACGTGACCACATATAGTAGTACAAAATAAACAAAAAATAAAACAGAAAAATAAGACAAGTGTGGCTCAAATGCACAAACATTAGATATCATGTTTAACCTTAAACTAAGGTTGGTCTGTTAAGTTGAGAAGTGCACCGTTTTTTCTTGTTCATAGTCCGCACCCGGTGTATAGACCGCAAGGGCGAATTCTGGGTCAAATTAAAAGTTCTTGCTTAAATAGTCCACACCCGGTAAAGAGTCCGCACGCGGCGCATAGCCCAAACTTGGTGCCTAATTCTAAAGTACAAATTATTATACGCAGCACACCTTAACAAATGCCTGCTGTATTAGCTCACAAAGAAGCTTGTAGCATACATAAATCACTTTTAATATGCTGTGCTAAACATAAAATCCTTCACGTCTTGTCACAGAGAGCAATCCAAGAACATACAAAACGTTGTATAGTCCGCAGCGAGTAAATTTTCAACTTTTGGGCATGTAAAGTCCGGGGATTATAGTCCGAAAAATATGGTTGTCTTATTCGAGATATGAAATAAATATTCAAGTAAAAATCCTCAATCTTCTTTTAATGCTGATAAACTTTGTATCAGCTTTAGGTATCACATAGTTTTACATATTAGATAACAAAAATTATAATAATTTACGGTTATCTAATGCTCCTCCTTATATATATACAATAAATATAGTAACTGAGCTGTAGAAGAGAACCGAACTTTTTATCTGCTGACATATTTTGGAAAGGTATTCTGCATAATATTTTATGTTAAATATAAAATAACATATGGCGCAATGATGATCTAAGCTGCCAAATATGATATACTGCGAAAATTTAAAAATTCGGCCAAAAATAGCCAAATAAAAAGTTATTGAATAAAAACTTAAACTCCCAGTCTGCAATGTTTCTAAACAAATATATCGAAAGTTGCGTGCCCACCCAACTTCGAAACTAGCGGGTGCAGAGAAATGCACGGCCGGTTGGCTCTCCGTCCATCCCATTTTTTCCGCTGGCGATGGTCTAGCGGCAAACTCGTTCAAAATTTCAGAATGAAAAAGAAATAAAAAGAAAATTGAGCGAAACCATCAGCTCCGGGCTGTATACGGTACATTGCTCGGTGGTAAATTCGGACGTGGTGCGTGAAGGCTACTCGAAGCAATCATCAAAACTGCGAGCCGCATCTCATGGTTCAGCGGTGGCGGTTGCGATGAAAAGTTTTCTCGAGTGACATAATTCTGGAATCGTGTTTTTAGCTCAATGCATAACGGGTAATGCAGCCTGACAAAGCAAAGCTTAAAAAAGGAAGTACTGAAAAGTGAACGACTTTTTGCACGAACTCCAAGAGCTATGGTCAGGGACAAGTGAGTATCTATGGCGTATCTCTATACTCGATTCAGACCAGCTTTCAAAGATTGCTACTATTAGCTTTGGAAGTTGTACCCATATTCAGGGTATATGCATATGTATGAATAAATATTTGAACAAGTCAATCGGACTTTTTGAAGAAATCTCTACGGAAACGACGTTATTGGAAAGCAAAAATGTTTACAATGACTTTCCCAATTAACCTAATATAAATTATAAATAAAACAAGTCACGTCTTGTACCATTTTAAATATTCATTTGAATTTATTCTTATCTGGGGTAAACAGATGCAGATTTTGATCAGTACTAGCAGGTTAGAAATTTCACGACCCCAATTAAAACACTAAAAACAAGCAATGAAGAACACCCTTACTATATGAGGGAGTAGTCTTCGTCTTTTGTGCATTTTTTTTTTCTTTCGAACTGTGAACACATTCAGCTGTCCACCGAGTCGGGTGACTTTTGACCTAATTGCTAACTTTGCTGTCTTCTTCTAACAATCAAGATGCTAGACTACTTGGCCGCTTTTAAATTCTATAACAAATGTTTCAAAGGGGCGTTTGGAAAGCGGAGTGTATGTAAATGCGCACAGAACAGTTAACTTTGACAAAAACATTAATGTAAGGAAGCGCTCCAGATAGAAGGAACATTGAAGCCCTGCAGGTCCATAGAATAAACGCAGGAATTCATTTATCAAATTTTGGTATTTTCACGGAAATCCGACTATAGCCATGTGGTTTACATTTACATCACGTTCTCAAGTCTAACTCTTTTTTCTTTGAAAGTTCGCATAATGCACATTCAACCGACGTCACAGCTCAAAAGATTTTCCCTTTCTGAATCATTTGAAAAAAAAAACACACACACACACACAACCAATTTGAACTTGTAAAACAAAAACGACAAAGTGCACGGACTGACTCTTTTTCTAATCCAATTGGCACCCATTATTTTAAAAATAAGCTTTGTTTTTGTTCTTTTTTGTGTTTAGAATCAGGAGAATCTTGAGTAAGCAGGGCAGTCAGATTGCGCAGTCATTGTGAACAAATTAGATAAAGAATGTCACATATAAAGACAACTAGCCCAATACTTCTCACCGAGTTTTAGTGCGCTCTAATAACTGAATTTCTCTTTTTAAATATTATTCGAGCTGATTTTAGTTTTGTTGTAAATATATTATACATCTAATTTTCGTATTGTGCCAAGAGAACAGTTTTCGATCAAATGTTTTGTTTGAATTTCAGGCAGATTCTCATTACCGCTAATAATAAACTTATCCACAAACCGATGTTACATATAACCTTATTATTGAAGGTAATCAGGATCACTTCATTAAAAAAATAATTAATGAATTCATTGCACGTTGTTGTGATACAAAAGAAGCAACTTCTTTAGTATCAAAAATATGCTCGGCTGAACGCTGCTATTCATGCAACACTTTGAATAATCAACGTAAAGATGAAACACCACGCTAAACGTGATTGCGCTGTCATCACTATTGGGGCCATTTTACATTACCACAGCGAAACGTACACACCTCTAATCCTCGATTAAAGACGCGTAAAAGAAACACAAACGCACAACAAAGGCATATTTCCCGAAACGCAATTTTAAGCCTTGCGCAGCGTCCGCGGCATCCTCAAGTCCCGTAATTAACATCTCCCGTCCCCAGTCTTCTCCCCTTTTTCTTATATACGCCTCAAGAAACCATTTCAGGAAACACGACAGCACACCCCCCCCCCCCCCCCCCCCCCTATTCCCAAGACTCTAATGACACATTCTTGCAAGCAGGCACACAACTTTCCACATGACGAGGCTTTCCCCGCTGGCTCATCCTTCCCTCTCCCTCTCCTCCTCCTCCCGCTCCTCCACCCTCAGGGAACCGGCCGTTCAAATCCGACGTAGTACCCGGCACCGTAACATTAAGGCCCCCCCCCCCCCCCTCTTTCCCTCCCCCCACACACATCGTTTAGGATCACAACCCGCGCCGTCCTTTGCTGGAGGCGATGGTGGCGCTGGGCTGCTTAGGAAGCGAGATGCCCAGACCGATATAGTAGTGGCTATGCACCATTTTACGTTACGATGGACCGTAGTGAGAGCTACAAGCCATCTACGCCAATACAATGCCGTTTGAATGTCCCGTGGCTATCGGTAAAAGCCGGCAGGGAACGTGATCCCATGACACGTTCACTTCACGGGATTGGCTGTAGGATTGGTTCTAGCTTGTGTCGCGGTTCATCGCAAGGCGAAACTAAGTATAGCTTGGTGGTGGCGGCCCGAAGCGGGAAGGCCCCGAGCTGCTCGGTCGACGGTCGCGAACGAAACGTTGTAGGGGTAGTGAGCGGCGCGGACCCCGGCAGCTGCATGCCCCGGGTTTGCAAAAGTGGCGTGATTTATTGAGGAATCCCTCCGCCGGTTTCGGCGCGTGGTGGTGGACGCATGTGTGTGTGTGTGTGTGTGTGCGTTTTCGGGGGGAGGTCGGTTGTACGTTTGCGTGTGTTCCCACTGGGTTCTTGTCCGCGGTTGGATGCTCTGCGCTGTTTCCCCGGGCATTGATCTGGAAGACGCCGCGGAGTGCTATAAGCGGGCTCGCGGTTTCTGGCCTGTGGATATGCGGTGGGGGGGAGGGGGGGAGGGGGGGAGGGGTCACGCGATTGGTTTGTGCGTGTCGTGGGGGCAAGGGGGGGGGGGGGGTGAGGGGGGCGTCGACTTGTGGGGATGACGTCGTCTTCGTTGGTCGGCTTGAGTAGGTTTGATTTACGCTGGCCAGTCAACAAATGGTAAATGCCTAACATGCGAGCGCAAGTTAAATTGCTGGACCTATCAATCACTGATCAGTTGCTCAATATAGAAAGAAGCTGCCACAAGAACGAAAACCTAAACCTGAACATAGTTCCGCAAGAAACCCTAGACATAAGGAAGCAACAGGACAAGCACGAAGTCTCAAACACAACTGAAACTTTAATTTTCAAAAAATCTTTTAAAAATATTCACAACAGGTAAGACCGAAATCAAGACAAACAAAACAAATAACAGAAAACAGCGCACTTTACCGCCCACTTTGCACACGTTACTGTTGCTAAAACCTGACCCAACCAAACTTTTTCTATTTACCTCGATTCCGTTTGGACCAACACGCGGTCTTTAGTTGATTTCCTTAAAAA